TATGTCAATTAAGTCGTTCATGCGCGTGAATACCCTATAACTATTGATAAAAAAAAAATAAAAATATAAACTAGATGACAAATATTTAACATCATTACACATGAAACCTTACTAGTTTATTAATGTACTAGTAAATATAAGGATAAACAAACCAAAAAATATATAAGAGTACAAATACCATAAAAAAAAATAATAAAATAAACAAAACCTGCAGGCTGGCCACGGGCTATGTATTTTCCAGCCCGTAGAAATGCGGGCCATTTTGGCCCGCCCCGTTTGGATCGCGGGCCAGCGCGGGCCGGGCCGGACCGGCCCGTTTGACAGTGCTACATACATACATGTTACACAAAACAGAACTTCTTACAATAAATACATCATACATACATACATACATACGTGTGTCAGACGTTGAAAAACTAAATATACAATGATCAACCTCCAGTACATGCATGAATGCGCAGAGACGGACAATAACCAGAGTCGTCAGTGTAGATAAAATTAGTTAGAATTGCAGCATACAATTTCTGACTATGATGACACAATAATTTTAATAATAGGGATTAGCAACCTTATCGTAACTGCTCCTTTCCTTTATGTCACCCTTCACATGTAATTACATACCACTCAATAAAATGGAAAATGGAAATAAGAAGCAATATATATATCTCCTCCCCTATATATACTTTCCGAATGCGCTGAGCCTACGTGGCTGCTTCTGGTGCTCCAAAATCCTATTTGTCGAAGAATCACTACAAGAAAATAGAGTTCTAGTGAAGAATTTTTTTGTCACTGTATCTACTGTCACTATATCTACAGTTATTGTCACTATATCTACAACAATTGTAGATATAGTGACAATAATTGTATATATACTGACAATAGATATAGTGACAACAATTGTAGATATAATGACAAAAAAATTCTTCATTAGAACTTTATTTTTTTGTAGTGATCATACTTAATTCGTAATTAGGTTTGGACAAATAATATTGATATATTAATAATTAATAATCTAGGTTCGAACATTTCATAAATATTATTTAGCTAACTTAGGTATTTTAATGTCACTTGTACTAATATAACCCTTTAATTCTTTATAATTTTACATAGTGAGACACTAAGTGACTAATATATCTCCGACTTTTGATTGGTTTCCTACAATTAGCTATTGAATTATAAATGTATTTAAAAGTTGATAATTTTTGTATTTCTTATCGGTTTTTTACATATATAATATATCAAATTAATAATCTTTTCATGATCTTCGATTTGACATCCATATTGTATATATAAAATAAATAAATTATATTTATCTTTATAATAGTAAAAAATAATAATATTTATTAAAATTTATTAGAAAAATAAAATTATTTCTCAGTTGATATATTTATGTTTAATGTAGTTATATGTTGTAAGTTAAAAAAATTATTATAATATAACACAAGTAAGTCACACAAATAAAAAGGGTCATAATAAATATATAATAATTTATATTTTTATAAAAGGTATTTAAATTTTCAACTACTTTTTCTCATTAATTTTAGATTTTAAGAAAAAAATTAGCAAGCATCCGTATAATACACGGGCATTATACTAGTATATATATATGAAGTTGAGGTCTATTTTTTTGGGTTTAATTGGACCTTTTCAGCTTACAAACTAGATGGTCTTAGCCCCTTGAAATGAACTCTTTTGGCGTTGCATATCGATGTTACCTCAAGACTTCTATTTAGAAAAACTCTCTTGACATCCAACTTGTCAAATCTCAATGTCCGTATAAGCGGCCACAACAAAAAATATCTGAATATATATACTTAAGCATCGCTGTTGACGAAAAAATTGACACATAATCGAGCCCTTTCTCCCAGTGCTCACCATTTCGCAACAAGCCTCGCTTTGATTGTTTATACGAATTTTTTTTTTGTATTAATTAAATAGAACTTCCTCTTACTTTTGTTTTGTAACTAAATTAATAGAAATTTTCTTTTTGATGATATGACCTTGTTGAGTTGACTCATTTCCCCGTTGTATTAGGTGTGCGAATAATAGTACAATTCTCTAGATCCTGCATCCTTATCCTGGAGGGTTTTTTTTCGATTCCCTAGACGGTAGATTTTGACTTGAATAATGCTGACTTGAAGACTTGATAGTTTTTTTTTTTTTTCCTTAATCAAACGCTATGTTAGTTGAGCTCCTTGATGAACACAACTTGAATGTCGCTTGAACGCCGTTGATATTCTTGATTTTAATTTGAGAGGAACCGATGCCACCTCTTTATTTTGTAGAGAGGAAGAGTACATATTTTTCTCTGTCTTGGCTTTCTTCTCCATTGGACGTACTTCAAAGGTTTGGAAACTCTATTCCGGAGTAAATGTCGATCTTCAACTTAATGTCGATCTTCAACTTAATGTCTCTGGATCTTAACGAACGCCTTTGGATCTTCAAAATAGATCTTGAGAACTATTAAAAGTATGTTTTTTTGGCTTTGGGAAGAGCGAAAAAATTGTGGTAGTATTTAGAATTTCTCTTTACTTTTGTTTTGTAACTAAATTAATAGAAATTTTCTTTTGATGATATAACCTTGTTGAGTCGACTCATTCCCTGCATCAGTGTTGTATTAGATGAGCTAATAGTAGTACAATTCTCCATAAAACAAAGCACTCCGTTATTAAGAGAATGCAAAAGGAACAACAAACTAGTGCATTGAGTGAGATAAAATCACCACAATACAAAAGAGGAGAGAGGAGAACATAAAATGCTTTTCCCTACTAAAAAGCTTATTGACTCTCTTTTTATAGAAAATGTTCGTACGCCGTTGATTAATGTTTATGCTTCTGTTGCAGACGCTTGAACCAGTAAGCCGACATCTTGGGGTACCTCTTGAGGGTTTTGAAATCCACGTACACGATTCCAAATCTTGACGTATAACCCAATCTCCACTCAAAGTTGTCGACAAACGTCCACTGGAAGTAGCCAATCACTTTCGCTCCCTCGTCTATAGACTTTTTCAATTGTATAAGATAACTTTTGTAGTAATTGATCCTCTCCTCGTCGTGCAAGACCTTTGGGAGCGTTAGGTTGCCTGGCTGATCCATCCCTGTCGTCAAAATTGATGCTCGTGAGCTTATCATTTCAATATTTATTTATATAGTTTTCTGGTAATAGCAATTGATACCATTCTCAGCCAAAATAATAGTGGGATTGCCATAGCGTTCTTTGATGTAGTTTACGGCTTTGTACAAACCCCATGGCACGATGTAAAGCCATTCTGAGTGCGCCTGCATGAATAGACAAAAACGAAAGAAATCACAAGACGAGCACAATTACAAAGACAAAAAAGCTTTTAACATTTTTGGGACGAAAACTTTTGCTATCAACACACCCTTGGCCCGATTGGCACTCCGTGACGATCATCTGCCAAAGATTTAAAGACAATATTAGACATGTAGAAGCGTAAAGTGTACTTTAAAATTTTTACGACGAATCTTTAGGCAGAGAGTAGAAAGAACTTAACAAAAAAAAAAAAA